CACCTCTCAAACATAACTGCACGGGTTTGAGTCAAGGCAGGTCCTCTCTCAGTAATGCATTTTAATATCAGAAAAGGAGAGAAAGTGGGCCTGGCAGTGAGCAACCTTTGCCCTCATACAGCCCGCCCCTGTGACATCTGTGGGATTTTGGCTGACTTCTGTGTATCATATTTTCACATGGATGAACTGTACTCTACCATTTCTGTGTACCAGGAACCCAAAACAGTGTTGACATTGAAAATAGAGTTTTCTCTTTCTAGCTGTTTTAGCTTCTCTGTTTTCAAGGGCGACCTATTATTTTTCATGGCAGTGGCCATGGGACTCTTGTTTACCTCTCCACGGAGGGCTGTCCTGAGGCACTGATGGTATTTCTGAAGTAGCCCCTGGCAGCTCGGGTGGTCTGGGTAGACATAGCTGCTTTCTGGTTAAATATTTTAAATTTGGGAGAATTCCTGGACTCCTGGAAAGTCTTCCTTGGTTATATCTGGGCAGTAGATTTGGTCTTTGGAGGCAGACAGCTCTGTGCTTCGTTGTCAAAGCAGATAATAATGCAGTTCATGGAAAGAGGCCCTTTGAATCCTGAGGCATTTCCTTCTCACCCTCCAGTGAGTGTCTGTGTGGGAGCAGCTGGAGCTTCACACAGAAGGGACCCCACAGTTGTCTCCACACAGCTGTTTCCAGCATCAGGTCAGTGTGAGTCTCCGTGTCCTGAATATGTTTGGGAAGGATCGTCTGCCACATAACCATCTGCAGGCATAAGTCAGAGGAACTTTCAGGGAGCCTTAAGACTGCAAATGGGGGATTTTATGTCTTGGTTTAGGTGTGTCTTGATGCTGTTCTTTTCCAGCCTGGACATTCTGAGAGCAGCTGAAAACATCCAAACGTGATTTTTCAGAATTTGGGTGGGAGAGGTAAAAACTCAACCTGCTCAGCCTGGATCTATCGCAATGCTTTGCATAATAATTAATGATGTACAAGCTGTTGCTTAATGGACGGTTTTACTGTGTGTGCCCTTCAGTTGTGACTAGCTGGAGTCCCCCATGATTTAAGCGGCTACCTCTCTTCTTTATGTGCGTCTTGGCCATTGGATCAAGCTGTTGGAGTCATATTTTCTCTCCTTGGTTTCTGCTTCCTCTTTCCTTTTTGTCGGTCATTCAATGAACTTATGTTTAACCTTCACATTCAAAGAGAGGAGAATATTTTTTTGTATCTGAATATCTCAATATTTCTTAGTGTTAGGCAGTGACCAGCTCACAGGGATAAATGATGAAAATAATTATTACTCTTTCTATGCTTGTTGCTATTTAAACACTCCACATATGACTCATTTAATTATCAATAACCCTCTAAAGTAGGGTCTGTTACCCCCTCCCCCCTTTTACAGGTGAGAAAATCGAGGCCCAGAGAAGTAAAATAACTTGTCTAAAGTCACACAATTAATTCAACAGTGAAGCTAGCATCATGATGAAAACCACACAGTAGTCCTGGGAGAGAGATAGTGTTAGTCCCACATTTTAATGAGGCCACTGAGGGAGGGTCAAGGGAATTGTCTAAATTTACTCAGGCTTGTCTTATCTCCAACCCTAGCTCTTGTCCAGTATACTCCACTACTGTCTGTATTGTAGAGGTCCTGGATTCTGTTTAGTTGAACAGATATTTACTGGAAACCCACTGGGTTGTGAGTCCTGTGCCATGTGCTGGTTATATAGAATTGGCTTTTTGTTTTTTACACCCTTATATAGATGAGTCAGATCCTGGTGGCTAATTCAGTGAATTTTCCTTTTGGGAAAGCTTGCAGGTACCTCTGGTGTCCAGTACCATGCTAGTCACACGGAAGCTACCTAATATACTGAATAACTATGGGTTGATAAAATGTGATATCAGTTAACCATTTAATAAACAGTTTTGTTCTAGCAACCTCTGTGTTTGATTCAGTTAATGTTTACTGATAGGCTGATGTCTTACATTCACCTGACCGACGAACCTAAACACTATTTTTAATATGATGCCACACTTGGTTTTATGACCGTCACTTTCCTAATTGAGGTAGTAGACTAAAAATGTTCAATGTCAAAATATGGAGCTCTTATTGGGTTGATTTTGAAAAGCTAACATTATATTGGAAAACCCAAACAACTAGTAGTGACGGATGCTAGTTCTAGCTCTTATAACTAATAAAACTGTGTACCTGTTACCACATCTGCTCTCTCTCAATTTTCTCATATGCACAATGAGGAAATTACACTAAGTGATGATTAAGATCACTTGTTAAGTCCTCTAATTCATGGAAAAAAACAGATATTATAAAGAGTCCTTTTTAGTAATGCTATGTATTAGTTTAGTTTTGGCTGCAGGAAGTATCTTAATTTTATTGTCTTATATTCTTGCCTTTTAAATGGGTTGATAATTTCTGGCACACCTAATTTATATGACTTCTGTGAGGGTTCAATGAGATACTGGGGATACACGTGCTTTGAATAATACAACACACGTAGGAACACAAGATGGCATTATTCATATTGAAAGTTAACGATAAAGTGTCAGGTTTCTCACCACTCTTCCCCCCAGCCCCAAAAGACTGGAGTTGGGTCCTGGTTGGGCTATTTCTCAGAGTTTATGGAACTCTTTGGGACTGTACAGGGTCAATAGGGGCTTTGTCCTGCTGCAGGTCCGTTTCCCACGGTTGGGGCAAGGCTGCCACACTTTCTCCTGACACACTTTATCATACACACCCGCCACACAAACTGGGGTAATTCGCCAGACAAAGTGAGGTTTTCAGTTACAAGAACCTCTGCTTTGTGAAAAGCCCCCTTGGAATCTGAGCCCTTTCCCCTAAGCCAGCAGACGTGTCTCCCGGCTTTACAAATGCCTTAAAAGCTGCCCGATAAAAACTACCCTGAATTTGTGTGCCATGTCTAACTCTGTCTGTTGGTGTGGGATATTTTTAACTCCTGCTTCTAATTCCTCTTGGTTCCTTTAAGGAAGCGCGATCGTAAGGGTCAGGCACTTGGCATCTACTTAGGGGAAAACTTTGAAAGAATTTCTGAGGCTCCCCCTGGGGTAGAGCTGGCTCTCCCCAGAAGAATCGGCCTTTCAGAGCGTCTTTGCCACATAAGGGCTTGAGCTGGGCCCCAGGCACCAGTTGACGCTGTCTCTCCCCCACGACAGATGGTCAGGCCTTCAATTTCAGCAAGGGATCCTCTGTGGAGCTTCTGCCAGCATGCCGAGTGACAGGGCAGCTTAGGGTAACGGGGATCCGGTGTGTGCCCGGCATAGCTTTTGTGCTAACGATGGGCTGCTGACAGGCGCCTTGCCCCTGCTCATCCTGGAGGCAGATCCCCGCTCCCTTGATTCTGTTTCTCTCTGGCAAAGCTGCGTCCTGTTTGCCTGTCTTTCAGAACCCATTTTGGCACCAGATGGACCCCCTCACGGTGGCTAGCAGTTGTCTGACTTGAAGATGCCAGAGGGTGTGCTGACAGCTCCTTCTAACATAACCTGAATCTGGCTGTCGGCTCTGGGCTCAAATGGCTTAAACACACACAGGCGGCAAATATTATCAACCCTGGGGAACAACGGAGGGGAGAGAATGGCAGTGCCCGCTCCTGCAATATTTACGTTGCTAGTGTAGAGATAATACTAATAATTCCTCTTGCTTGTACAATTACTCATATTTGCTCTTCTTAGTACAATTGCTGTTGATAGTACAATTAGTGTTCATATCAGTACTGTACTACTTCTGTTATTACTAAAACTACTATAGCATAATGGCTAAGAATGCAGGCTCCATCCAAATTTGAGCTCTACTCTTTCACGAAAGTATGTGTACCAGGGTGAGATTTTTACGCCATTGTAGACATCAAGTGGGGGAAAGATGTAGAAGGGAAAATTTCTTTAAAATTTTTTTTTCATTTCATTTTATTTTTTTCATCACTTTTTATCCCTCTTGTACCCTCTTCCACCTCCATCCAACACTCCCCCCCACAATCAGCATACTGTTGTCCATGTCAATGAGTTTTTTCTCTCTTTCTTTTTCTTTTTTGCTCAATCCTTCCACCTCCCCAGCCTCCCTGCCCTCTATACTTACAAGAATTTCACTGACTAGCATTTTAATGCATTCTGATATTTTGGGAAATTATTTGAGTCTGAAATCCACAGGCCTAAGAGAAAGGGAATGAAGATCTTAAGGTGGCTTTTAAAATTGTCCTTTTCCCAAACCTGAACAGGTGTGGAACATGCAGATGGCCAACATGAATGCTCTAGAAGGCTGCCTTTGATATCTGCTTCCTTTACCTGATGGACTTTAACAAACCACTGCGACATAAGACATAACTCAGAAAGCTATAGGGTGACCATCGAATTTAGAACGCTTTTGCAAGTTAAAGTGGGCACTATTAATACACTAATACAGCAGGTGACAACTGGAATTGTTTCTGGCAAGGTGGGACCTTTGGTCACCCTAGCAAGTAAAGCCCCTGGGCCTCACATATAGGAAATCTTTGAGAAGCCAAAGGACTTTAGTCAGTATGTGAATCTTACCTTCTTCTCATGGGTACTATTACACTAGGGTATTTTATTTGGAGATGCTAGGTTAAAAGGTGTCTACTGTTTCCTTGTGGTCATTCAGCATATATTTTGCTGGTTCATAATCTGTGACTTTACAGGGTTTGACTTACATGTTATTAGGGACCGTGAGTAATTCTCAGGCAATTATACTCAATTGGAACCTACCTTAAATGGGGTGAAGACTTTCTCTCTGCCTGAGTGAGAACCCTTCCTTGGGGGCTTACTGCTTTTGTGAGAGCTGCTGGCAGTACTGAGAGCTGTCCATCCAGCTGGAATGCCAAGCAAAGGCTAAAGCTCTCAAAGAAATACTGGTTCTAAAACCATTTTGAATATTTCAGAAAACTGGCCTAGGATATACCGCCCAGAAGCGACTTACTACTTTTTACCTTTCTGTGTCAGGACTGAAATGCTAACCACAATCATTTCTTTCTTCACAGGTTCTTCTTGAAATTTTTCCTCAAATGTAACCAAAATTGCCTAAAGAATGCCGGAAACCCACGTGATATGCGGAGATTCCAGGTGGGTCTGTCTTGTCTTTCTCAAATCTCAATAATGACTTGAATATCAGGAGAGAGTAAAAAAAAAAAAAAAAGACTGAGGCAGAATATAGAGAGTACGGTTGTTTCCCCAGAGTGGAGAGCAGGTGGGGTTCCTAGTCCCTCAGGTCTCTGCTGTCTAGGAGTTGTTGTTTTTATTAGAGAAGAATTGGGACCACACCACCTGTGTGTGCTGGTTGAGCCTAGGGTGGCTTCCAGAATGGACTCACAGGCTTACACTACTGCAGGTGAAGTGAAGTACACAGAAACAATGAATTCTTTGCCTGTAAGTTTAGAACTGGAAAGCTGGTACATAAGAGCTTTGTTCTGTTTTTAGAATTTACTACCTTCTTCCTTCCTCTCTCTCTGTTCTTCTATCCTTGGAAATTGTTAGTAGCAATTATCATTAAAAATGGACCCCTTAAGAAGCAGAGGGTGTTTCTAGACTGACAGGGGTGACAGTTCTGTTTCAGAAATGTCCTTGTGCGGCTCATGTAAATGTCCTGAAGCATCCATCCGATCTGCCACCATTAAAAGCATGAGTGGTATGCTAACCTCACATAATTATACATTTTCTAAAGGAAAAAGAACGTGAGAACAAACGTGTTAACTTCTGAGACACAGAATGGGAGTTGGGTTTTAGTAAAGGTGGTTAAGTTCTAGGTAGCTGCTTCTCAAACTGGAAAGTCAAGAATCCCCTGGGGATCTTGTTAAAATGCTAATTGATGTCTGGGGGGAGAGGGTGCAGAAATTCTACATTTCTAACAAGCTCCCTAGTGATGCCAATGCCATGGCCATACTTGAGTAGCAAGGTACTAGTCCCCTCCCGTGTTGCTTTCTGTCTAATTTTATGGCTAACTCATTTGCATGGCCAATGTTAAATTTCCCATCAGAATCATGACCCATATAGGTATGGCCATAAGGTCTGTATGGTGCTTAGAGTATACTCTTAGGTATAGTCAGCTTTAAGTAGATTAAAATGTATGATCTCTGAGAAGCGCTTGAAAATTTTTATGCACAGTCTCTGATGGAGAAAGGGAAGGGATGATTCTGAGCATTGATTTTTGAATGTCAAGATCTCTTAATCTCTAAGATGATGGTTTTTTAAAGGGGTGAGACTTACTGGTCTCATGAAAGAATGAATTCAGTGAAAAAAAGACATTCTCTCCTGAGATCTGAAGCATTTCTCTAAAACCATCTTGGCCTTGCCAACTTTTGTCTTAACAGAGATGAATGGGGGAGAATCCCTAAATTCCTAGTTTCCCAGAAAATGTTTCTCCTGGCTAGATTCGGATCCCATTTTGGTAGACTTGGGCACCCGCATTCCCACACAGGACTTTTTGAGTTGCATTGGAGTCACCTTTAAGGGCAAAACAACACATATGATGCCACTAAGTGTGTGTTGCTAAGTGTCTTAAAACGTGAGGGTGAATTTTAGTATCAACTGTTTGGTAGTTTGCTTTGACCTTGAGAGGAGCCATATCTCTCATTTGAACAAGCTTGGGTTAGAAATGAAGCATCTCCAGGCACAAACCAATTCAGATCTGAGAGACATGTCTAATGGCCTTTGCATACCAGGATCAACTTTGCTGTGTTTCTCAGCGAAGCAGAGCTAGAGGTGGACTTTGGTGACATTGGGAGCCTAAAGAAAGAACGTTTGTGCAAGACTTCTGGGGACTTGTTTGCCCTCATAGGACCTGCTAGTAAAATGTCTGAAAGCCTTGAATTATAGGAATGTAGCTCTTATGTGAGATGAGAAACCAATTCAGTCTGGTATTTTTGAGACTAGAAAGTTTTACTTTTCAGACAAAAGAGTTACTCTTTGTTTAATAGAAGGCCTACTGAGATGAGGAGACATGAGTTAGATTTCCGGAAAACCTCAGTTTCCTCAATTGTAAAATAGAGTAAAAATGATGATTCTGCTTATTTTACAACATATGGAGGAAAGACAGCATTTTGCATGCATATGTAATTTATAAATGATAAAATAAAATGTAAGCCTTTGGAGAAAATACTTGCAGTAAACTAAAGCTGGGTCATTATTTCAGTACAGGGTTTCTCCAATTTGGGCACAATTCACATTTTAGACAGGTTAATCCTTTGTGGGGAGTGAGGGATGGGGTGGGGGGATGGTATGTCCTGTGTTTGTAGTATGTTTGCAGTTGTCACTGGCCTCTACCACTAGATGCCAGTAGACAAACCAAGATGTCTCCAGGCTTGTCAAATGTCCCCTGGTTGGGGTGGGAGTGCAAAATTGTTCCTGGTTGAGAATCACTGGTTCAGCCCTATACTTGATGATCTCTGGCGGACTCTTCTCGGGGACAGTGCTTTTGTCTCAAAGAGCACACTCTTTGTTTAGGCATGAGAGCTGCCTGACACACGTCATACTATTCTTCGAATACATAATGCTTTATCTGAACCATGGCAATGCTCTTTCCTATGATTCTCCAATTGGTCCTAAAGCAGGTGGATGTGTCTCAATAGGGGCAGCTACCTTGGTCACCACAGAGTCAGTGTTTGAGTTGAAGAAGAGCCGTATCTCTTTCTATCAGCAATGACAAATTCCTTACTGCATCTCAGATTTAACCTGCTTTGTTCCATCACTCACTCATTCCTTCCTGGCAGAGGATGGACGGAGCCTATGACAGAATGAATACTGACTCCTTTAGTTTTGTATCTGTGTATGGTTATACATTTTATGACTTATCATTTTATGCAATTAGCACATGGTCTTATGCATGTAGGCACATGGGTATTTATGCAATTAGAGAATGGATGAATTGCCTCAATAGAATTCAATTAAAACTTCACATATCTCTTATTCAACCTTTCCATTTTTTTCCTCCAGTCTTGTTTCTTTGCATCATTTCGTGCTGGTAGCCACACCATCCTTCTTGAATCCTTTTTCCTTGGACTCCATAACAACATTCATCCATTCTCAGCTCCTCCTAAGAAATGCTCTTGTCTGCTCTCCTATGAATGTCAGTGTTCTCCAAATTTCCTTTTCAGATATAGAACTCTTTTCACTCTATAGGATCTCTGAGTATCTTCTCCACCCCCAGCACCTTAACCACTTTTTCGACACTGAGAATTCTTGAGTCAGGTTCCTCGAGACCTGATATCCCATTTCAGACCTAGCTACCAGCTGCCTGCTGGATATTTCCAGGAACTTCAATGCATTGAGCCCCCAAACTCAATATTTTTATTTATTTATTTTTTCCCCTTGTGCTGGTGTCCAAGCTGGTTTCTCTTCCTATGTTCCTTGTCTTGGTTTGTTCCTAAGTGCGTCAAGTACTGGGGAGAGAACTATGTATATTTGTGTCTATATCAGTGTGTTCCATATACATGTGTATAATTATACATGTCCCTGTGTGTACCTTGATGTACATTTATGGACATGGGCCATAATGATGATGATAAAGCTAACATTTATTGGGTACTGATGTGAGAGAGATTATGCTAAGCATTTTACATGAATTGTCATTTTCATCTTCACAATATCCCCGTTGGGAATGTGTAAATGTGGATTATGGATTTTACAGATGAGGAAACTGAGGCTTAGAGAAGGTAAGCAAGTTGCCTGAAGTCACACATCTATTAAGTATTGAGGCAGTCTGACTCAAATGTTATCTAAGGTTGTGGAACTATAAAGAACTTGTCCAGAATCTGTTGGCAGGTACCAAATAAGACAATAAGGAGGTCTCTCAACATCTGAGAGCCACAGTGGCTACCCACAAATATGTGCTGGACTCTCAGCAAAGCTAAGGAGGGGTTTTCAAAAGAGGCATTTGCCCTAATAGAACCTAAAGATACCATCTGGATGAAGACCATTGGAACAGCACCAAAGTTTGCCAAGCAGAGGGTAGAATTGTGTGGAGGGGGAGAAACCTGAGCCTTGTTTCTGAACAGAGCTACAGTGTTGGTCAGTTTGTAATTGTATGAACTTTAGGAAAAGAAGCTGTTATTCAGAAGACTGCCTGAGCTTCTCATAAGTGGTAGAGTTTTAGGCCAGTTCTCTAGGGCAAGACAGACCCCTTACCCAGATGGAGCCTGAGTATAGCGGCCCCTCAGTGTAAAGTGGCATCTCAGATTACTCTGTTAAGAATTCTTACTGAAGTTCCCAGTTCTTAGGAGTTAACCAGGAGAGGGAGGTTTAGTCTTCCCCAAAGCTATCCTGGCTGTAGAGATGCGTTAGGAGACAGTGGTCAAATGTTTCCTATCAACAAGACTTATAATTTCCATCATTTTTCTCATAGCACACTAAGTGGGAAGCTGGCTTCAAATATTTTTACTAGTGTGTTGCTGCTGCCTCCAAGGGGGAGTGAGAGAGTGTCTTTTTGGGCATGAGAAAACTGGTGTACTCTTTATATCTCCCTGTGGCTTTTCCCAGTTATATTGAAAATCCGAGACCTGGAGACATCTGATTGAAAACTCACTCTCCTGCCTATTAAGTGGGCTCTTCCCAATTGTCATGGGTGCTCTTTTTCTCTCACCCATTTTATCTGCTTGCCAGGCCAGCCTGATCTTCATCCAGCTGTGCCTAGCGCGTCTCCTTTGAACAGCGATCAGGGTCCTGTGTAGGTGACTGTGGAGGATACAAGAAGGGTTGTTGATCTCTTGACATGTAAAGACATTCTGTCAAGCAAACTCAGCCACACAGCGGCAGAGCTTCTGGTGTGTAAACAGAGACTGCTTAATTACACAGGTCATGTCAATTAGTGTGACCTTAGCGTTTTCAAGAAATTAATCACTTTCCCCTGAGCTCAAGTATGTTCATACATTAAGGCAGTATGGAATAAACCTTGTACAAAATCTGGTATAATCTTTTTTTTCTTTTCTTTTCTTTTCTTTTTTTTTTTTTTTTTTTTTTTACAATGGATGTTTTCTTTTGAAATCCCTGGGCTCTGGTTAGGGTAACAAACTTGCTTAGATACAACAGTGGATATAGGCTTCATTCAGTTCTGGTAGGTGAGGGGAGTTGGG